GGCCCTCAGCCAGGGTCAACCCACCACAAGCCTTTATTCTACATGAGTTAAGAGTGTAAGCACTGAAATCTAAGTCTGTACGTACACTACCTTTCCACAGTCTGCTTTTCCTAAGTTTGCTTTTAGTAATGGTACTCAGAAAAAGGCCATGCAGCAAAACTTTATGGTGTATTTCAGCCATTCATCCAACAGACAGAGAAGCTATAAAACACGCCAAAACAAACCACATCCCTAAATTCAAAGTTTGAAAAGTAGAATTTTATTAACAAGCATTTGAAACAAAAAATGAGCTTTTCTGCATCCAGCTGTCATATTCAGGATTTTAATCAGACCCATAAGGTATCTCTCTTAATATCATGATGTGCCATTTTCCAGGACATTGCTACCAGTAGCCACTGTAGAATGTATTACTGCCATAACTCTCTCCTAAAAGAATACACTGTCATTGCTAGTTCTGTTGTTGTCATCCAGGTAAAAAGTCTGAGGAATACAAGAGGTGTTAAAATGAGAGATAAATTAAATCTGTCATGTGGGGCTAAAAGACTTAAATGTCTTGTGGTAAAAAGACTTAAAATTGTTTCAGGGAAATAAAAAATATTTTATTGCTGCAGTGCCTTCTAAATGCATTTGACTAGAAGCCTTTAAGAAATAGCTCCTTTCAATGCACATATAATTACTAGTCTCAAGTTATTTGTCTGTTATCATCAGGGGCAGCTCAATGTTAAGAAAACGTTAAGATTGTCTTGATAAAATTGTGATCTTCACTATCAGCCATCAGTGCATAAGTGATACACACTTCTCAATAGGAAAGATTTGTAACTGGCTTTAAAAAAGAAGCAAAAATTAGTATTCAAGAGCTTTTTGCTTTTAAAGAAACAAACAAGAATTACTCAACTGTACAGAAATTACATGTTCTCACAGAAAAATCAGAAAAACAAGTCCCCAAGAGAATATAGTTTTGTTCTAGAAGGGACTGAACCATATACTGGAGAATTTTGAACAAAAGATTTCACATAAAAGCACAGGTACTGAAGTAACAAGAACGGAATTGCTCTACAATGTCAAACTGAAAAGTTGATCTTGTCCTGAAAACAAAGTTTAGCTACACGTTCTGCTACCCCACCTGTATAAAGAAGCAGTTGCTTCTAAAGATGTGTACATAGACACAAAAATTGCATTTCACTTAATAACCTTTTATTTTCAGAGTAGCCCATAAACAAATAAGGTAACTCTTAATAGTTCAAGTAAGCTGCACTGTTAATCCTGGTGCAGAGAGATGCTGTAGTTAAACCTCTCATCAGAGCAATAAAATACTTTCCTTCGTTCTGGTCAAGAAAATACTATTCCACAGCTGCTAAGCAAAGGAAGGATTAATACCAGCAGAAGTAGTCTTTGTAGAGAGCCATAAGAGCAGATGGAAGTCCCAAAGCTCACAGTTTTTGCACAGAATTCAAAACTTGTTGAGAGCTTGTAAAATGAACAGGAGTTTCAAACAAATTTGTCAAGCACTCTGTATCTTCATTTAGCACAAAATTAGGATACTTACAACCCTTCAAAACAATGACAGATATTCAGTTATTTTGCATGTGTTTCTTTCTCCAGTGCTGCTTCCATTCGACTGTGTTTTAAACCCTATAGGACACAATTTAGTAAAATCTTGTTTTTACTAACATGGAAATAAAAGCTTTAGTCACAGAACAAAAACATTTTAGGACAATTTTTTTTTAGTACTTTACAAATCTAGAGTAGCTTTCAGCTCTTTGGGGAAATCAGAATGGGCAGTTTAAAACAGACAAAAGGCAAACTACATGTTGTCTTTATAATCAGTGGCTCTACAGAATAATTTCAGATATATATTTCTTGTTCAATTAAAAGTAAATTAAAGCAATCCACAATTATATATCATCTGAAGCAAGAAATTCCAAAACTAGTCTTTTGAAGATACCCTATGGCACCAAATCCCCTCTTTCCAACCTCCCCAATGTAAGAAGTTTAATTCCTCCTGTAATTTTCTTTCTTCGTAAGTGCACAAAGGAAAATAGAAATCAATACTCCATGTCGCAACTATACTGAGAGCTCCTGCCAGACCTTCACAATTACCTGAAACAATTACTGATGAATAGTCTCTGCAAAGATGCCAAATCTGATCCTAAATCTGATACTACCACTCATACTCAAAGAAAATACATAGAAGACTACTGAATAATAAACATTCAGATTTACTCCACCCATCTACAAAGACAGAAATGGTTGTTTTAGAATGGCTACAAAACACTGACTATGAAAGCACCTAATGGGACCCCTCCAGCGGAACAAAGTGTTCAGACATCACTGACGATATATATACATGCTGGTTCATGTGACTCCTACTTGAGGACAGGAATACTTATGCAATACAAAATACCCTTAAATTTAGCTATCATAAATTAGAATAAGATATCTAAAAAGCAGGCCTCCCTGTCTAGCTTCTTGCTGAAAACAGCCACAGCAACACAAAAGCAAAATTACAGACACTTCAAGACAAAAGCGGCACATACCAGGTAATAACCAGTGTGATAACCACTCATGTACCAGGCTATCAACATGCTCCCCAATGCTTCATCATCCTCAGGAGAGTCTGGCCTCATAGGTGGTGGAGGAGGAATCAACTAAGAAATCACAAAGGAAATGTCTGTGTTTCAGTAGGGTATATCCCAGGTTAAAAAGCAACCAATTCTAAAAGATCAAAATACAAAACTGAAAAATAAGAACATATCCTCAATGCCTTCTCTGAAAAGGAGTCAAATAAGATGATGTTTTCTGAAAATATGTCATTTCCAAAGGCTGGGAGAAATAGGATTCCTGTAACTTGACTGTACACAAAAAGTTTTACTAGGGGAAAATAGTTATCTGCATCAGTGAAATGCTGTTAATCAAATGTAAGGTGTAGTTTCTTCAAACAATTTTTCTCTTAATATTCTTACCAACGGCTTCACTGTCACAAAAATGAGTCCAGACCAGACCTTGTGCATTACATTCTTGTAATATTTGTAACTGCATGTTATCACATACCCGGAAAATACAGACTCTTAACACAGTAATGTGTTCTAAAATCACAAGCAGTGACTGCTTTCAGTTAGAAAACTTGAGATCAATCATAAGTACTCATCTCTGACTCTTTCTTCCTATTCTCCTATCACTTACCGGTGGTCCTGCTGGGAAGGGTGGAGGCCAGCAAGATAAAAATGATGGAGGTGCCCTGAATTTTGATCCAAGCTGCATTAAAAAAATTGAATAGTGCAAATTTAAAAGAAGTTTCAGGCATTAGGATTTTATTTAAGAGAATTATTTGAAGCAATTCACAAATGTTAAGACAACACATCCCAGCAATTTAATGAAACTGCAATAACACACAGTAGCTACTTCTGTAGAGCGTTCCATCATTGCAACAGTAAAACTTACACTACATGTGTCACTGAGGTAAACAGTGCTGAAAGAGGGCTGTAGTTAATACAAGCATTTAAGATTTCTTTCTAAATAGAAGTCAGTTGTTGCACTCCCACATGAAGAAAGTATCTAATATTGCCCAGAAGCAAACAGGTAATTTCTCTGTTTCTGTGTGGCTGGGGGCACATGCTGACTAAATTCCATTATGCTTGTGAAAGTCTTTAAAATGAGCTTAGATACAAATCTATTGATATGAAAGAAAAAAGATTAAAAGAAAACCTTACAAAGAAATCTTGCACTAACAGTAATGTTCAGAAAACATAACACTGCATTCAACTGCACTGCTGTTTAGACTCCTACAAACAGGAAAACTGAGGGGCATACCAATACTCCAAGCCTCATAGTTCAATAGAGAAGCTACATCTGAGAGCTTCTATGACATCTGCACATCACTTTTGCTGTTTTCAGTATCCTGTGTAGTGAAACATACCGACTGGCTAAAAAAAGTACAATCTTAAAACATCAACAGTGCTATCATTAACAGCACTATCACAGTCCAGGGAGCAACATCCCTCTTTTAAGTTACAAGGCAATTGCATAGCAAGTATTAGCTAGGGCGAAGGCTTTCCTCACTAGACAGCAGGACAGCAAAAGGGCTATGCTGTGGCCAGATTATTATAAAATGACCTATCAACAGGTTCTAACATGCATATCTGTATATCCATTCTCAAAATGCTGTTATTTGGTTTCTAGACACATGATAAATATCATCCTATCATCTCAGGACTTCTAATAATAACACGCTTAACAGTGGTATATGAATTACTTCAGTTAAGGCTGAGCTTACCCTTCCCAGGCCTGCTGGTGGTATGGGAAAATGTAGGTTTTGGGGGGAGGATCTTGCTTTTGAGCAGTTGTTTTTGTTTTGAGGTGACTGGGAAGATTTTTCACTTTCATCTGTTGAATATGGAGTCTCATTTTCATTCTGGAAGACCAAGACATTTTTATAAGCTCCACTAAACAGGAATTTACAGCAAGCAATTTTAGTATGAAAAAGCTTCGAAAGCCCCATCCACATCCTTCCCTCTCTCTAGGCCTCCCAGTCCTATTCAGGAAAGATCTTATAACCTCATAACCTTATCTCCTCAACACTTTAGCTATGTTATTTTTCACTCATTAATTTCTTGTTGTCCCCTCCCTTTCTTCCATGCTAAGTTCAAGAAGTAAGGGGAAGCTTTCATTCCATCAGCTTGTGCCCATTCACAATAGAACCAGGCATTGATTTGCACTCTGAACACCACACTGGTAGCAGAAACACTAAAAAAGCTGATGCTCCCCCCTTTCTCTTTCCTTTTTGGAAGAATGAAAAAGCGTCCCTCACCTCCCCAGAATTTCCCATCCCATTTACTGTTTCATCGCTGGCTGGAGGAAGTAGATCAGACAGGTTCTGCTCCTCCTGATTTCCATATCCCGTGTAAGTAACAACACACGTGCCTCTCTTCTGATTGATGGAGACAATAGTTGCTAGATACACATTACCATCCTCAGACCAAACTGCATTACAGCTGTCACCAACTTTCCACTGCAACAGAAGCAAGAGAGGCACACCAATGATCAGAGAGAAAGATACCTTTTTCTAAACAGCTTTTTTTCCCACCCATGAGAAAGACAGCTCCCACCCAGACAGTTCTTCCTCTGTATTTAGTGAAATTGCTCAATGTAACCTATAAATAAGGTTTATAAGATTATCATCCCCTGCCCCAGACTCTCAAGGTGATGAAAAAGCTACTTCTGAGTACCACAGAGGACAACATACAGCACAAGCACCACTAGCATTTGCAGGTGAAGTGACCTGTTTCAAAGGTACTGTGCTGCTCTTCTTTCTATTTCTGTTCTTTTTATTGTTTTTTCTCTTCGTCCCCGGGCGCTGCTCCTGTTTGTCCGAAGGCTCTGAACACTCTCCATTCTTTAAAACGTTCTGCGGGAAAAGAAAGAAGGAAAACAATAAAAGGCAATCCAGCGGCCGCAGCCCAGGATCCCGCTACGCCCAGGCCGCCCCCCTTACCTTGAAAGAGGCCACCGCCTTGTCGTACGCCTTGATGAGGGCCGTGTCGTCCCACAAGTCCGAGTCGTCGCTCTGCGGAGGCCATAGACCGCTTTACC